CACCTGCCAGTGGCAGGTGTGGGAGTGAGGGAGTGGGGATGGGGGACAGGGGCTGAGAGGAGGCTCCAGAGAAGGAAGGGGAGGGAGGCTGGGGCCTGGGAGGCGTGAATGCCTGGGGTGGAGAGCAGGATCCCAGGAATCAGATTCCTGTCTGTGTGCCCAGCAGAGGGCAGGAAGGAAGAGAGCGTATGGCAGAGGGTAGAGGGCGAAAGGGAGGGAGGGCATCGCTTGCTCAGGACAGTAATTGCTGGGCACCACGTGGCTGCTCCTCAACCAAAGGGCAAAGTCAGGAGGGCAGCAGGGCCCACGTTCTCTCTTCAGAGTGACCTTCTCACGGGTGGACTGTTCGGGCCCCTGTAAGTTTGCGCGTGCTGGCATGGAAGCCGGTTTGATGTAATTGTGTGGCTTATCTTGAATCCACGGAGTCGGCCTGCTGTGGTGTCTGCTTGAAAGACATGCTGTAACAGCTTCTGAAGGGGAGTGCCCTTTGGAGTGTGGGCGGGATTTGGGTGGTTCTGTCTTCACTTTGTCAGGTGGTTCCTTTGATGTGGTGGTGACCCAAGGCTTGGCAGAGCCCAACAGCTGGAGCACCATGGATGCCAAGTTCACCTCCACCGAGATGGAAATATTGAAGGCTGGCTGAAATGCTCCAGGAAGAACTTCAATATCTGCCATTTCCTGATTTAAAAAAAATTTAATACGATATCTGTTTTTTCAAACATATTATTCAGTTCTCTATGATGACATTACAAAGGAACATCTTAAGTGAAAAACAAAACAAAACTAAACTAAAACTAAAACTAGGCCAACCTTGTGGCCTAATCGGAGGCTGGATCCCATATGGCTGACTACACAATTCAAATCCTGGTCCTGGTGACTTGAAAAACACACCCAGGATGTGTGCGTGCACCCCAGATACCACAGCATGGAGAAATGGAGGAGAAAGGATCATGGCATGGCATCCTCATTTGGGGGTACTTTCTTCCTCTCTCCTCTGTCTCTCCTTGATGAGCACATGTGCCCTCTGGTGAATTAAACATTTTTAAAAAGAAAAATATACTTTTTAAATTCTTTTTAAAAAATTTTGCCAGAGGGCACATGTGCTTGCCAGAGACAGGGGGTGATTTCTTGCTTTCTATCTCTTTATCTTTCTGTGTCTTTTTGGCAAACGCACACGCCCTATAGCAAAAACCTCTCCAAAAAAAAAAAAAGAAAAGAAAAATACAACAAACAAACAAAACAAATAAATAAATAAGTTAAATAAAATAATTCTTTAAAAACTGGTTTTTTTTCTCTTGAAACCTCTGTAGCTAATCTGTGTGCAACAATTTTTTCATGAATTGAGCAGAAAATTTGTTCAACTTTAGATTTTTAGTCAGAATTGTGTAAACTGGGGACCAGCAGTTAGCGTAATGACTATGTCGCTGGACTCCCATGTAGTCGACTGCGGTTCAAGTCCCGGACCCGGTGGCTTAAACTCATGCCGGGCACATGTGTGTGCATGCCCAAGATCCCTAGAGGAGAATGGAGGAGAAGGGATTGAGGCGTGGCCATCTCCCCCGGGAGGTGATTTCTCGCTTTCTATCTCTCTGTCTGTCTCTGTCTTTCTGGCGAGTGCACACACCCTATAGCAAAAATCTCTCTCTCAAAAAAATAGAGAATTGTGCAAACTGGACAAACTGAGACATCTATGATACTATCATTTATGCTCTTAATAATCTGTCCCTTTCAATTTGGGCACAAACAAGATGAATTTTTCCTCTCAGACAGGATGCAGATGGTCTGCTACTGTGGGTGTCATTTTCAATGTTGTCCCCTTTTATTCTTTCTTTCTTTCTTTCTCTTTTCTTTTGTTAAGGCATGGTCTCACCATGTAGCAATCCTGCCTCGGCTTTCCATGTGGCTAGAATTACAGACACACACCTCCTTGCCCAGCTTTCCTCTTTTCTTTTTCTCTCTTCTTTTCTTTCTTCCTTCTTTCCTTCCTTCCTTCCTCCCCTTCTTCCTCCTTTTTTTTTGGTTTGTTTGTTTTGCTATAGAGTGCGTGTGATTGTTGGAGAGAGGGAGAGAAAGAGAGAGGGAAGGTGAGAAATCACCCTCCAGGGGAGATGGCGACACTGCAGTCCTTCCTCCCTTCCACTCTTCAGATTTGGGGCACGCACAGACACATGCACTGTGTGATTTTCAACCTGCCAGGTCTGGCACTTGACCCGTGCAATTGCCCATGTGAGACCAGCTGCCTTAACCGCCACATCACCTGCTGCTCCCACCCATCATTTTATTTCTTTCTTTCTTTTTTATTTTTAGAGGTTTTTGCTATAGGGCACGTGTGCTCACCAGAAAGAGAAAGACAGAGAGAGACAGAAAGCAAGAATTCACCCCCAGGGGGATGGCCATGCCACAATCCCTTCTCCTCCATTCTCCTTTTTGGATCTTGGGCACGCATGCACATGCGCCTGGCGTGAGTTTAAGCCACTGGGTCCGGTACTTGAACCGTGGACGACTACATGGGAGTCCAGCAACATAGCCACCACACCATTTGCTGATCTCAACCCTCTCATCATTTCTTAAAATTAATCATTTATTTGTGGAGCTGGCAGGTGGCATAGTGGTTAGGGGTGCTGGACTCCCACGTAGCCCACTGTGGTTTGAGTTCCAGACCTGGCGGCTTGCTATCTCACTTTCTCTCTCTCTCTTTCTCTCTCTCTCGCTTGTTCTCACTTTCACTCTGTCCCTCTCTGGTTAAATTAAAATAGATAGATAAATAAAGTTAAATAAAATAATTCTTTAAAAAGAAATGAATGATTTATTTGTGGACCAGCAGGTGGCATGGTGGCAGAGGCAGCTCAATTCTTACATAGCTGACCGCATTTCGAGTCCCGGACCCAGTGGCTTGAAAATCACACTGGGCATGTGTGCATGTGTGCCCAGGATCCCAAGAGGAATGTGGAGGAGAAGAGACTGCAGTGTGGCCAGCCCCCTTGAGGGGGGTGATTTTTTTCACTTTCTTTCTCTCTGTATCTCTCTGTCTCTCTCCTCTGTGGCAGGCACATGTGCCCTATGGCAGAAACCTAAAAAAGAAGAATTATTGATTTGTAAACTGCTGAGTTGTTTGCAGCCTCTTCCCCATAAACATTTCATGAAGCGTCAATGATTTCATCATTCTTACCCAATCTGCGCTGTAAATTTGGTTTGTGTGTGTGTGTTTATGCCAGAGGGTGTGGCTGCCTACAAGAAAAAGAAGACAAATCGAGAGCACCCTCACAGTGGGACCTGATCATACTGCAATCCATTGTCCTTCAAGGCTCCAAACCTCAGAATGTTCTCCAGAAGGGCTTTTCAAGCCAAGCAGGCAGGGACTCTAACCCTGGCCAGACTAGGGAGTTGCCCTACCGGGTGGATCCTAAGTTGGCTCTCCTTTCAGTTTTAGTAGAACTCATGCCGCCATAATAGGAGTTATTTTTCAAACCGATTTTCTTTGTGCCTCAAACTAGATCCTGTTCAGATACGTTACAACAAGTAAGCCTACGTTTATTTTGGTGCAAAAAATTGGAAATGAATGCATCGTGTATTCGTAATGTGCATTTTCCACGAACTTTTGGAAGATCCCCTCATGCAGAAAACAATATTTTTTCTTTTTGCAGTAAGTTTCTGTACTGTGTTATTCTTTTCATTTTCTGGATACAACCCGCTAAATCTGGCCTCCAACTGCGGTTTAAACACTCTGGCTTTGCACACCAGCGGCAGAGGGCGATATGCCTGGGGAGACTTGCGTTTTCAAACCCCACTAACACTCCCACGCACTTGTTGGGCTTCTCGCCGTCGGAGATCAGCTGACCCTGCCGCTGGGCTGTTTTGGCTCCCCCTGGCTCAGCGCTGACGCCGGATTAGCCCTGGCGGCCATCAGGAAACGCTAGCAGGCAGGTTCGCCTCCGCAGCCGGTTCCTGGTCCCTTCGGGGAGGCAAGGGTCACCGGGCGATGGCGTTCTGGGGAGGCGCAGGGGAAGGTCAGGCGAGAGCCAGCCCCCCTGGGAGGGGCCAGCAGTTCGCCGAAGCCTCCTGGGTTTCTGTGAACTTTGTTGCATTTCTGGTCCAGGGGACCGAGGAGGAAGTTCTTAGGAGTCCCCGGGAGCGCCAGGTGCGGGGTCGGTGCTTTGTCCCTGGTCCCTGCGGGGTCCCTGGCCCCCCAGTCCATCGCCTGCCTTGCCCCGGCCCGGGACTTAGCGGGAGAAGCGCCCTCTGCGCGTAGGTCAGGTCCTGTTTTGGAGCGAGCCGGGGAAGGGAGCGGCCAGGAACCCGGAGGGCGTTGGCAGGACTGCGCCCTCTCGCCCCCGCCCGGGAACCGGCGCCTCAAGTCCTGCCTCCCGGGCTGGTCCAGGCACTCGCTCGGGATCCGAGGCTCCGCGCGGGAACGCCATCCATGGCTGCGCTGCGCTGCGTGAGGCTGACGCGGACGCTGCTGGGGACACGGGTGGCGGAGCGCTCCCTCTGCCCACCCCTGGCCAGAGCCAAGGCCGCGATCCCTGCCTCGCTCCCCGCGGACCAGGCACCCCAGGCTCCCGGAGCCGGGCCTGGCGACCCGCGGCGCCTGCGGAAACTGGAAGAGATCCCAAGGCAAGGGCAGCTGTTATTCCTCTTCCGCCTGTTCGTGCAAGGCTACGTCCTGAACTTTCACCTGCTGCAGGTAACCGGGCGGGCCTCGCCAGCTGGGCGGGTGGGCGCGGGCACAGAGATAGCGGCGATGCTGGACAGAAAGCGAGCTGGGGTCAACTGAGGACGTGGTCATCCCGAGAGCGCGTAGGGAGAGTGCAAGCGAAGAGAGTCTTTGAATGAGATAAACAAGCCGGCAGGTGTTAGGAACTAGAACGGAAATAAGCCGATCTCGCTATGAATCGGGAGGGCACCAGCAAGGAGGTGACTTGGAGGCTAGACTGCAAGTGGGCAGGCTGGGAGGGACAGGGCTGTGCTGGGAAGGGCATGACAGATGTTACTCTGGCCCTGCTGGCTCCCACAGGCTTCTCCCAAGGAAAACAACTTCAGGAGGGCTACGGAGATTTCTTAGTGATTTTTTGCAAGGTACACGACACGTCGCACTCCATCCCGGAAAAAAAGATGTTGCTTCTCAGGAGTGAAAGCAAAATCATAAACAATAAGGAAACGCTGCACGTTTGCTTTTAAGAAAACAGCTGTGCGGGTTAGAATCCCCAGTGGTACCCAGAGATGAGGCCAGCATGGAGGCTGGCCAAGGTCAGCCGATCGTGGCTAAGTCGGAGAGGTTTTCAGAAATGCACCAGAGGGAGTCATGGGATTCTGCCTTCCTAATAACTATGAAAAAGTATGAATGCACCTACGATGTCCCAGGCACCTTTCCAGATGCTGGGAGTCAGTGAGATAAGGGAGACGGAGAACAAAGAAGCCCAGCAGTCAGCAGCACCTTCCAGGGAGGGCTCCGGAGGAGGAGTTGCGCTGAGGTTGGGGGAGGGGTGGTGTCCCGTCCAGGGTCACGTGGTTGTCAGGGACTGATGGAGGGTAGGGAGGCACTGGGCTGGGATGGCCTTGCGTCTGTTCTGAGGAGTTGAGCATGAGGACAGGGCTTTGTAAATTAGTGCCGTCACTGTGAAAAACTGCGGGGTTGTCGGGAAAGTCATGACGTGTTTTTCTATGCAAAAAGGCACCATGACTTCTCTGACGACCCAATATATGGACATTTCTCAGAAACTTACAAATAAAGCTGCCATGTGACCCAGTAGCCCCACTTTTTGGTATTTACCCAAAGGACAGGAAAACACCCCGTTGGAAAGACACTTGCCCATCTGTGCTTATCACAGCAAAAACCCCCCGTTGGAAAGACACTTGCCCATCTGTGCTTATCACAGCATTATTCACAATCGTGGAATCAATCTAAGTGTCGAAGAATTTATGACTAGGTTAAAAAGAAAAGGTGGCAGGAACCAGCAGTTAGCGTAATGGCTATGTCGCTGGACTCCCACGTAGTCGACAGCGGTTCGCGTCCAGGACCCGGTGGCTTAAAACTCACGACGGGAGCATGTGCGTGCGTGCCCAAGATCCTGAGAGGAGAATGGAGGAGAAGGGATTGCGGCGTGGCCATCCCCTCTGGGGGGGTGATTTCTCACTCTCTTTCTCTCTCTGTCTGTCTGGCAAGCGCACACGCCCTATAGCGAAAACTTCTGAAAAAAAAAAAGAAAGAAAAGAGGAGTGGCACCAGCAGGTGGTATGTTGGTTAAGGCACGGGACTCCCACATGGCTGACCACTGCGTGAGTCCTAGACCCTGTGGCTTGAAAGTCATGCTGGGTGCAAGTTCATGCATACCCAAATACCAGAGGAAAATGGAGGAGAAGGGATTGTGACATGGTCATGCCCCCTGGGGGGTGATTTCTCACTTTCTCGCTCCTGCTAGCGCTCACACACTCTATGGTAAAGAAAAAAAAAGTGTCACATACACACAAGGGAACACTATTCAGCCATACAGAACAATGAGTTTCTGTCATTTGATACAAAGTAGAAGATCATTTGACACAAAGTGGATGATTCTAGAAGAGTGAATGCTTAGTGAAATACGCCAGGCTATGACAGACACACTGTGGCCAGTTCAATGTATATCCAGTGCATACGGTATGTCTGTGTCCAACCAGAGAAATGGAAAGACTTGATACTAATGTGGCCAGTTCAATGTATATCCAGTGCATACAGTATGTCTGTGTCCAACCAGAGAAATGGAAGATTTGATACCAGAGACTGTGTGGGAAGGGGAGAGAATGAGAGTGGGTGGAAGAGGCTCAGGGAAACATTTAACAAACACAAGAATGTAAGAGTCTTTGTCGAAAATGATATATAGTGGGGACCAGCAGGTGGCATGGTTGTTAAGGCGCTGGACACTCCCACATGGCTGACTACGGTTCAAGTCCTGGACCTGGTGGCTTGCTTTCTCACTTTCTCTCTCTCTGTATCTCTCTCTGATTGAAAAAATAAATAATTCTTTTAAAAAAAGATGTATAGTAATATCCCCAATTTGATTATCACACTACATGTATGCTTTGATATACCATATTGTATGCTATAAAGATTTATGACAATTAAATGTAAATGAGAAAATGTGTGTGTGTGTGTGTGTACCCTTAATACAAAAGAATGAGAACGGGACTGGGTGATGGTGCAGTGGTGAAACAGTGCTCCATGAAGCTGACCCGTGTGGGAAGGTTCTGGGTTGATATCCAGAGACTCCCTGAGTACACTGGGGATGTGCGTGCCCGTGATCTGGATCTGGCTGAGGCTGGGGGTGGATTGTGGCATCAAGGCTTTGCTGAGGGCACTATCTCTCTGTTCCACTCTCTTTAACTATATCTCTTGGTCATGGAAGAAATGAATAAATAGGGACCAGAAGTTAGCATAATGGTTATGTCGCTGGACTCCCATGTAGTCGATCACGGTTCGAGTTCCAGACCTGGTGGCTTAGACTCATGTTGGGCGTGTGTGTGCGTGAGTGCCCAAGCTCCCGAGAGGAGAATGGAGGAGAAGGGATTGTGGCGTGGCCACCCCCCCGGGGAGTGATTTCTCGCTTTCTGTCTCTCTGTCTCTCTCTGTCTTTCTGGAGAGTGCATGTGCCCTATAGCGAAAACCTCTCAAA